CTTCCATTGTACTGAGGTATATACCTGCCTTTACCCGACACGAATTAGCTCCACTGGCCACGGCTTCTCACTAGAACTCCGAGAATTCCCTCACGAATCTGGGTTCGGATCGCGCGAGCGGGCGGTGTATGCGCACTACTGAGGATTCCCACAATAGGACGAAGCGGCCGTCCAGTGTTTCATGTTTTCAATGGTGGTCTAACATCAATCGGTTCATGATCTCAATGATAAATATTTATTTAATACTGAAGGATGAAATGGATAGTAAATTAACAGGATGTTTTAAAATGTCCAGTTAGTATAGCTAGAAAGAACTTCAATGAACTTAAAGAAGAAAGGTTTATGTACATTCTACACGGTAAACAAACCATAGTTTCTGTCAAGTTTTGTTCACACCTATTTATCGAATACTCAGAGATGACATTCTGATTGTTTATCTCATTTCATATACAATCAACAAGTTTTTGCATTATTTCATACTTGATCACAATAACTATTCATTACTTGTTTAGACGAAATTAGAATTTATCTCTTACAAACCGTAAAAGTTATACTAGTTTCAGCCAATAACCATTGTTTTTGTATTGAAAAGAAGTTTTTAATATATCTTAATAACATTTTCCCTTTCATTTGATGACTTCGTTGTTTCCCATACCTTCTAAACTTCTTCTATTGCACTATATTTTTGTGTCATCTGACTTTAATGACTAGAATTTTTGACCTATTGTAAACTTTCATGCAATCATTCCCTAATTGATATTAACTTCAATATGTTTATCATTAAAATAACCACTGTTACATCTATCATCAGGCCACACTTATTTCTTATCATAAGTTTACTATGTTATCCTATATATATATTTGGCTTAAAACTTTACACAGATAGTTAAGAAATATCTTAGGTCTATATAATTGAAGACATTGTTATTCGATTACATAAGCCATCATTACTGTATATGCTTTATTTTACTGTTCCGAACATTTATGCAGATGGTTCATTAATAACAATCACCTTTAACTTAAATTATAACACTTCCCAATCTAGTAGTCAAGACCGTATAGTGTTACTTCACTTTCAGCTACAAATTAAGATAATAGATGAATCAACATTTTGCACATGTTAAATATAGTTCTGTTAGAGTTCATAATTTCTCGAATGTTTACTTAAACGTTTGTTATTATGATACCTTTAAAAGATTTAATTATTTAATATTAAAGATCATGAGTCAATTAGAGCTAGACCACCATGAGAAATCTAGAAGCATTGGATGGCTGTTTCGTCCTAGTATGGGACTCCTCAGCAGTGCGCATCCACGATTCCGCTTCTCGGGATTCGAGCTCAGGACATAACAGTCTCGCGCGCGAACACTTAACCTCTATATCATTGAGCCGTCTTGCATCCATTGGTGTTAATGTCTAACTTCAACTAATCCACGAAGTCGAGCCACACGTCCGCCATTGTCTTCAATGAGTTACTATTTCACAACAGACCTATTTGAACTCCTCTGGTCACTCCCTTTTTTTCAATAAACAAAGTGAATTGTCATTTTGATAATCTTTTAATTTACAACTATAAAACTTTAATATTCAATATCTCATTACTTTCGTTCATCATTGTACATTTAATTTAGTATCATATTATCGAATCAAATCATTTCTTTGTAAGTCCGTCTTGATTTGACTAAGTAGCATAAAATGACTGGTAAACGAAATATTGAATAAAAATATACTCTTTAAAATGCTACCAAATATACTATACATAAGCTAATGATGAAAATAATGACAATGAACAGAGAAATAATTTTTATTTAATTGAGATCATGAATCGATGAGTGTTAGACCACCATTGCAAACCTTCAAGTACTGGATGGCCGTTTCTTCCTAGTATGGGGCTTCTCAGAGGTGCGTATCCACTATCCCGCATGAGAGATTTTCAATGGTGGTTTAACATTCATCGATTCATAATCTCAATCAAAAAATTAAAAACATTGGCAAGTCAAGTCGATAAAATGGATGAATTGTAATTAACGAAGCAATTCACGTTTTTTCTTATTTGAGACTTAAAGGCTGAGTATATATGAATCCCTGTGTTAATATCTATAATGAGACTCGAATTCAGAACCTTTCGCTTTAGGTATCAATACACACTCAGTTAATGATGATTATATAAGCAGACAAAAGTCAATACATATTATATTACATCATAAGGTCACTGAATGAAACGAAGGAAAAATGACATAGGACAATAATATAAATATATTACAATACTGATTTATCGTTGGACAACTGTTGTGAATAAAACTCCAAAACTTCTACGGATATTCTCATAGGAATCAAATTTATGATTGTATTTATTATATATATATGCCAAATTCGATTTTTTTTTTGGTTTTTACTAATAATGGGCAAGTTAATGATGTAACTTCTATATTAAACGTGTCAATAATATATTGTTATCTACTTAAACAGATTGACATATTTATTATCCCCAAAATTTGAAACTATTCAGGGATTTTACATCCGTAATTCAGAGATTTACTTGTAGTGGCTTAGCTTCCATAATCAATCACTTTGATAATCGTTATTATATAAATCCTAACGGTGTTTGAATTCAGAAGTCAATAAGAAGCGGCAACTGCAGTTTATTAGCGAATAACACTGATAACAAATTTACAAGCATATCGAGCGGATTGAAGCAGAGAAGCTAATGTATGAGGGAGCAAATACAGAGGTAAATTTATAGTCAAATCGAATCAAGACACAGATAGATACGACAAAGCAAAAGCTATTAGAAGGATTCGAGCACATATATACATGGTAAAGAGAGTGACTGATTGAGTAATATTTAAGCTATCAACATTTAACATAGAGAGATATGTGCAGAGGCTGTCACATGTGATCAAGTATACGCAATCATACAGACATGATAGTAATCATAATAGAACAAAATAATAGACGAATTGTTACGGTCCGAATAACAATATCTCTTGAATAAGTTAATAAAAGTGCATGAAAGAAACCGAACTTAATCGCAATAAATCATAGGAGTGTTGCTTCATTCTGAATAGATTTCAATAATGAACAAATGTGTAAATATGTTTGTTCAATTCATGCATTTAAATGACTGAAAACTTAAGTAAGATGTGATGATCTAATGGGAGAGACTATAATTTATAGACGAACCAATCAGGTATGAGATAAAAGGTCTCGGATTTCAGTGCAAAATTCACTAATCCAGTTGGTTAAATCGAGTTTTCACATTATAACTGATGTCAGTTCGTAATCAAAACTATAAAATCTAATTCTTAACCGTAACCATCAATTGTAAATCATAATTGTAATTCCTCAAACTGGTTTATAACCTTCATTTGATTCTAGTTATTAAGTGAACACTCTCACGGCCACTTTAGAATCACTCAAATGTCGTCCATAAATTATAGTCTCATCATCTAATGAACTTTAGAATGAAGATCAATAAATTGTGTTTATTTCTAAGTCATTTGAATTTACATAATCTTTACCGGAAAATTAATGAAGCAAGTGAACTAAATGATCACTCAATAAAAACAAAACAGATTCATTAAAGATTCACGGTAGACAATTGTTAGTTCATTTTAATTTATGCCAAATTAATATTAAATTTTTGTTCAAGATTTAATAAATCCACAAATTCTGATTTTGAAAATATCTCCTATATGAATAATCAATAACTGATAGTGTCTCCAGAGTATTACTTGTCATTGAACCGTTGTATTATAATCAAGTTTTTACATTTGGATTACATTAATTATATTGAATTTATTTCAAAGTTGAATAATCGATTTTGAAATACTTCCAACTGAAATTGATTTACAGTAGTTTATCGCAGTTACTACAGTTATCAAGACCAGTGATTTGTAGGTGTAACGAGCTCACTTTTTATGTATGAATACAACATGAAAATATTTCAATGAGATATTATTACCGATTAGCAGAAAAACAGTCTCTTAGACAATACATAGTATAGTAAGAAACAGCAATTACAACACATCCTGTAAGAAAAATAGATATGGGTAGAAAACAACTAATATAAAACGAAATCTCATATAGTATTTCCAATATCAAAACATATAAAGAACAGATAACTTAAAATCAGAAACGTAAGGAGCAATCATAAATATAGTAGGTACATCTAGCTGACGAGTTCAAAATAGGACGAAACGCGCGTCCTGGATTCCACTGCTAGCCACTATCCATTTTTGCTTATAAAGCTTGCGACTTCAAGCAATATTGAGGCAGTCCACACAGGATGCACATATGCCAACAAGAGACTAATCGATTGCAGTCCTAAATAACAATGGAAGATACAAGTGAAACAACAAGTGAATATAGAAATGGATAGTTTAAAGCGATATTGGTATTTTAGTCATAAAGAGATGAAACCAACCCACTGTTAATTCAAACAGATGGGATTAGCTCAAAATATAAAACAACAACTAATTAATGAAATTTACAAAATATTAAACTTCGAACATTAAACTTAATTTCTGTAATTAGATTGTTCAAACTCAGTAATTGGTTAACATTAGGTTAACTGCAAGACCTATAGGTTTGTGTTGAATTGTTTAGTGGTTACTTCCACTGACTAACAGTCGACAATAGGAATCCTTTGTAGTGTTCATTGGTTTCAAATAATACTCTAGATAATGTCATTTAACTATAAAAATGTCTTGTTAATCGATCAATCCAGTGAAAATTTGAGTTTTCTAACAAATGTCTATGAAAAATCTCAAATACACATAGTCTTTTAGCAACTATGATATCATCCATATTGAATTCAATAAGATACACAAAAATTACTGATCATAATACCTCCATTTTCTATTAAGTTTTAGCTAAATATTTTGGGATTTTAATATTTTGTTTAAAACACATTGATATTTTTATTGTATATTATTGAGCAATGAACAGAGAAAAATACTGTACATATATGTAATTCATTAATTCAATTTCAATTTCAGGGCATATTAGGTAGCGGTTTCGCTCTCAAAGTTCAACAACATCAAAGACAAAAACATCTAATTCGAAGACGAGTTCCAGCTGCTACATTAATTCAATGTTTATGGAGATGTTATGCTGCAGATCCTCATTCATCATCCATCGCAACATGGAAAATTCATATGAGACCTATTAGGAAACCTGTTGGGTTCGTGAAAATAATTTTCTTTATAATAATGTTTTTAAAAAAAATAATTGTGATTAATACATACCTTGTTCAATTTGACTTCTCAGATCATCAATCTCATTTTATATCTAGAAACCAATAATAGTCGTACAATAATGCTGTATAACTTTCTACAACTGACTGTTTAGTAAATATGAGTCAATAAATGTGTTCATTTACTGAAAAAACTCGAATAAACATCATTCATAGAGACTAATTCATTTAGATGAATTAATCTTCCACAGAAACTGAACTTATTTTAACCTTCATTGTAACTAAGTGAATAAAATTTTTCTCCCTTCCATCTTATTATTTATTGAATATTTTATAATTTATCCTATTTTATATGTAGTTGAATGTATATTTGTTGTTTTCATTTCAAAAATATCGAATCAACTGAATTTATTCCTTAAAAGTAGAGAACATATGGAAAACGTAAAGACTAAAAAAACCCTAAGAAGCTACAACAAATAAAAAAACCTATTTTGTATTCAACTCAAATTTAAAGGTGATAATACAACAGGGTTAATCAATATGAGACTAAAAACTGCATTGACACGAACTTATCCTACAGCTAAATTGATTGTCCTGTTCAAAACAATATGTTATCTGACACAATCAAAGGTTGACAGGTATCCCTTTCATGTTACCATCAACTGTGTATACAAATTTACATGTATCTGCCAAAGGAAAGCCTAAGTCCGATTCAAATAACATATTTCGAAGAGTTTAAGATCAAACGGGTTAAAAGCAATCTACAGTGCCATTGCAAAATATCTCCTTGACGCAAGACATGAAGTCGATACACTGAAGTCCTTCAAGATGAATAACAAGCAATCAAACGTCTAAAACCCGATCTGTTTATAGAAAAAGAGGCAGTAATAAATCTTTCTTTGCCCTGCTAACATTAAACCCTCCTTTATATTGATTATTTATTACGTCATAAATTATTCCAACTCTTTCGGAAGTTTAAAAATAGATCATTCATAACTGACTGATTCCAATTCATTCCTTATTACCACTAATCTATTTTCAGTTACTTGATTACATAATCATCTAATGTTTGTTAATTTGATCAATTATAATCACTATTTCAATGTTCTAGAACTTTCCCTCCCAAACTATATTCGAAACAAATTTTGTGTGACTTAATTAACTCTATTGAAATCTTCGCTACATCATGATACACATATATTCATCTTTAATCATCCTCTTATGTATAAATATGTCGATATCTGCGATAACGTTGATTTCCAAATATTTTAGGTTGTAAGCAGCTGATGAGAACCTACTTAAGATAATAAAGGGAACTATATGTATGAAAAATATTTTTATTAAATGACAATATATACTACTTATTATTTATTTATTCTACATCTATAATCATTTATCATGATTCTAATTAGATATTCTCATTTTATATATTAAATTTACTTAATTCAACTACTTTAATATTATTACAACCCTTCACATAGTTTGCATAAATAATCCATAATTTCCAATATTTTCTTATAAATCTCATAAATCTATTAGTGGTTTGATTGTTTGTTTAATGTTTCTTTATTAGGTTAAACTGTAAATGAATTATTTAAAGACTTGACTTAATAATTAATGAAACCTTTCTTTAATAATTCCATACTAATAGTATATAGTGTATTACAAATGTATTTCGTTTGGAACAAAACCTTTGAAGCTTATGGCTTGATTCAGTAGAATAGTTAATAACCTTTCCATGAAAAACATGATTTGCATAGTACACTTAATTTGAATTATTTACTTACTTACTTACTTACTTACTCACTTACGCTTGTTACTCCTGGTGGAGGAGCATAGGCCTCCCATCAGCACTCGCCATTTGATCCTTTCCTGGGCAATCCTTTCCAGTTGTTATTCATCTTTTTCATATCTGCTGCGATTTCTCGATGTAATGAGATCTTTACCCTTTCACTTTCCCTCTTCCCTTTAGGATTCCGAGTTATGACTTGCCTCGTGATGCAAATTTGAATGATTTACTACTGTTTATTTTATACTGAAGATGAATCAGGGTGGCTGTTTTTTTAAAAAATTATCTCAGTCAGTCAATCATTCAGCTACAACGTAGGACCAGGCACATATGTGCATCGGTCCAAGTTGCCATACCTCATTAGCATAACAAGATGAACACCGAATTCATAAAAGTACTTGATTTGGTGGTGGTATTATATAATATATTTCATCTTGGTTTATAAATTCTTCAGTGTTCTCATAAGAGGATCACATGAATAATGTGAAATATGCTGATAAATATTGTTTGTAATGGTTGACTTGCAAGTGTACCTACACATAAATTATCGATCATATATCTTGATGATTAATTTATTACTTATAAAGCAGATTAGTAATTTGTTATCCTTCGTTATGAACATGAAAATGATGTTCATGTATACAGTGATATGGTAGTTATGATTTTGAATGTTTCATAAACAATTTGTGTCATTCCTTTCCTGGAATAAGCACAAGAACAAACAGTTCACTCTAATCATTTTATAAGTGTATACAGTGTATATCTATTCTTCCTTAACTTAGAAAACTTTTATTATCTCAGGTATGAAATTGTTTTGTTCCTCTTCTAATGATAAGAAATTCAGAAACAAATAATGATTTAATAGTTGAGTTCATGCGTTAATTAAAGCCCGATCACCAGGGAAAACCTAGAAGCCTTGGATGGCTGTTTCGTTCTAGTATGGGACTACTCGGCAGTGCACATCCACGATCTCATACTAGGACGAAACGGCCATCCATTAGTTCCAGGTTTTCCATGGTTATCTAGCTTTAATCGACTCATGAATTCAACTAATAAATTACTACAATCTCCACAAAACCTTTCTGAAAAAAATGTTTACTTACAGTTGTTATATTAGATAAATTACATCATCAAAATATATTTTTACATTTCAACTGAACTTGATGTTCTATAATTTCATGTCATAATTTTAATGCCTGTTCTTATCATAGAACAATTTCCAGGATCTTCAGGAATCCATGAATGTACTCTGGTGAATTTTTATTTACAGATTTAGAATCGATTTGAAGATTAACCATATAACATGTTTCAACGAAATGACATGTAGAACTATGATTTATTATCCAACCTCCGACCACAATCTTATCTCAACATAGTGCACGCAATGTCGAGTAACCTAGACTGGTGGCCACATGGCAACTTAATCGATAGGATTTGATTCTCACTAAGAAAGACCTGACATATATGACATTGAGCACCCAGTGATCAATCAACTCCAAATGTTACTAAGTTCTTAAGGTTAGAGTTTGAGGATGGGATTAGGATTTGTGTTAGGATAAGTTTATGGTTTAGAAATAGAACTGGAGTTAGATTTATAGCTGTTGTTTTTATAACTAAAATACAACCTATACTGCACAAACTGACATTAAATCCAATTAATAATATTTTATATGAGCGCTAACAGTTAGGAATTTATGGTAAACATGGAAAAGTTCATTAATCATTTAAAAATAACGTATTCTTTGTAAATTCTAATGTATTTTCAACAAAGTAAGATTTTATTTATTATTATTTTCCTTACTCTTTGTTCCTTTGTTTTTCTTCACACCATTCTATTCTTTACTTTTCTCAAATATAAGCTTCACTGTCCAATTATTATTATTACGTAATCTTATGGTTTTTATGAATGTTATTTCAGCGTCCATATTTTTTTCTTCAAATCACTAACCTATTTCCCATTATACAACATTGACTCAAGTCTTTATTATTCTTATCACAACTGGTACATCGATCATCACTCTATCAATTTGTACTTATTATTGATTCTGTTTATTTATGTAATCTATTCCACTGTTATCATTGATTCATGAACTGCTTTGATTGGTTTAATAATTTCGTATACACATATAAAGATTATTGAATATTAGAATAAAAGCCTGATGAGAGTCTAATCGAAAACAATATTGTTCACTTATTATGTTATTCTAATACACAAAGGAAGAACAACAGCTGGTGCAGAATAATATGTATTTATTTTTATTCGTTAGACTCTTAGCAGTTGCTTACGAATGTATTCATATAAAAGTTTAACGTAATATTTAACAAATACCTGTCACTCAAAGACAAATTTGCAAGGTTATTTGAAAGAAAACATAAAAAATATAAATTGAGTAAAGTAATAGTTATGGTGAGACTATAATTTATGGACGACATTTGAGTGATTCTAAAGTGGCCGTGAGAGTGTTCACTTGATAACTAGATCAAATGAAGGTTATAAACCAGTTTGAGGAATTACAATTATGATTTACAATTGATGGTTAGGGTTAAGAATTAGATTTTATAGTTTTGATCACGAACTGACATCAGTTATAATGTGAAAACTCGATTTAACCAACTGGATTAGTGAATTTTGCACTGAAATCCGAGACCTGTTATCTTATACCTGATTAGTTTATCCATAAATTCTAAGCTCGCCATAATTACCTACAATTCGAAAATTGATGAGACTGATTGTGCACTAATTACAAAAGATTTGGAGATGTTACCCATGCTTCAGTATTGAGCGTTTGAAATTGATGGATAAATGAACAGGTAATGGTAATGTGAATGAAGTGATGATTAGATGAGCTGATTGTATAACAAAACACAAACGATAATAATAGTAAAAATTGGAGACATTTTATTCTCATTTACAGTTTAACATGGTAGCTATATCCTTCATAACAAATAAATATGATTTAAAGTTTTTTAGTGAATACTCCTTAGGTTTACCGAAATGGAATTGAACATTTTTTTCGGTTATTAACCGTTAGAGATCTAATTACATCGCTAAAGTAACTGACATCGAATAAGTGCTGAACAATTTAGCTGCTCAGAACTGTGAGACCTTTTAGCCATAGATTCTTTGAAATGAGCTTGGATATAATAATGTTTACTCTTCTCTTTATCATGTTTTCTGACTGAATGAAGTGAGCCAACAATTTCCAAGTCATTTTAGAAGTTCCCTATTTTCAGTCCTATGGCTAAACTTAACTCTAAAGAAACTAATGAAAGTTTTATAAATAAGATAATTGATCTACTAAAATTTACTCTGATTTCTGCATATTTTCTATTATTGTTTTATTCACCCTGAACTCCTGTTATAAGACTTAAATTCATTATGTCTTCATATTTAAATTAAGATATTATGAAATAGGTTGTATTCAAATTCACTTGGTAATGTTTACTTGAATCTACCCATTGATGTTTCGGACTGCAATTGATCAGTCAACATCGAGACAATACGCACAGTATGCACATATGCTAATAAGAGACTGATCAATTGAAGTGCTAAACATCAATGGGAAGATTCAAGTAAATAATACCAATTCAATTTCAACTTCACTCCATCGCACAAGCAAATGGCTATCAGGATTCAGTAGCCGGGTGGATTGCGCGTAGGCGTTTCTGACGAACGGTACTGGGTTTGAGTCCTAGAGTGAACATCAACTCTGAGATGCAGATACATCTAAAATGTTCAGAAAGAAAAGATATATTCATTGAACTCATAAGATTATTATTATTATTAAAACTTCATAAATTCTATATATTTTAGATTAACTAATTCATATTCAATGACTGAACGAAGTGGTTTTTCTCGATTTGGTCGATTTTCAACATTAAAACGTCGTTCAGAAAAAACTACTTCTAATACAAATACAAACATTAATAACATTGCTCTTACTATATCAACAGATGATGAAACACCGAAATCTGCACCTGTTAAAAGTGAAGATTTAGATGGTATTTATGCATTTATAAATGATGAAGATACCATAAAGTAAGTGAATTTTGGTTTTAATCTTTTATTTTATTTATGGCTTATATTTTTGTTTAAGATTTCTATCCACAGTATAGACCAGTATATTTAATTTACTAAATTTGATATCAGTACTATAGAATATTTGTTTTAGTAATTAGTTTTAAAAACTTAAATAATTTGGTCACCTTTTAAACCCAAAATATTTGGGTAGCTGAAAATAATCTACTGTAAAATAAAACTGTGCGATTTTAAAGAAATGTAATCTTATTTTGAACATGCATTTCTGTGAACTTAATGTATAAAATAATAGATAATAAATATTAACGGGCCTGATACATTACTTACTTACGCCTGTTACTCCTGATGAAAGAGCATAGGCCGACTATCAGCATTCTCCATGCAATTCTGCCTTGGATAATCCTTTCCAATTCTTTCCAATTGTTATTCATCCTTTTCATGTCGGCTTCAAATTCTCGACATAATGTGTTCTTTGGCCTCCTTCTTTTTCGTTTTTACTTCACGATTTCAAGTTAGAACTTGCCTCGTAATGCAGTTTGATGATTTCCTCAATGCGTATACTATAGATTTGCAGACTCTTTTCCTAATTTCCTCTTCATATGGAAGTTGGTTTGTTCTCCTCTATTGTAGGCTGTTGCTGATGGCATCTGATCAACGGACATTGAGTATCTTACGTAGACAATTGCTTATAAATACCTGTACCTTTTGGTGATGGTTGTGTTAGTTCTCCAAGTTTCAGCTTTGTACAGTAGAACTAACTGTCTTGACCTTGGTATTGAAGATTCGCACTCTGATATTGGTTAGGTCTGATACATACATGTATCTATAAAACTTTAATTGGTCAATCGATAAGTTTTGAAAATACATAAATGTTAATAAACATTTTTATATGTATCAATGCCAAGGTTGGACATACTAGTTTCGAATAAACTGAGCATTAATTAAAACGTTAGTAACAAATATATTTTATTTTATTTCCGAATGAGTAGAAAATTGTGATCTTGACATTTCGTGGCCGAACAGTTATTATTTACTCTGAAGATGTGGCTTGCATTAAGTCACGAAACATCAGAATTACAAATGTCTGCTCACTGAGACATAACAAAAAATATATCTATTATAAATTTTTATACTTCCGTTTGCTAATTTTAAAGTAAACAGTTTTTCACTCAATTATCCTTCCATTAACAGACCATTTCTGATGTAGCATAAAAAGAGAAATTGTTAATAAGAGAACAAAATTATCGTTTCAACTCTTATTATGCTTCTTGTTAAATTACAAAACTCTGCTAGTAAGCTTCAGTAGAGTAGAGAGTCTTATACAGGCCCTCTACCAGAACACAACTGGTAGAGTGAGAGCTCATGGCAAACTGTCATCAGAATTGATTACCTCAAGTGGTGTTCGTCAGGGCTGTCCACTCTCTCCATTCTTGTTTAACTTTGTCATCGACGTACTTTTAGAGATAACACTCTCCTCATCTAAATTTACAGGGGTTGAACTTCTACCGGGAGGTTCACTTGTTGACTTAGAATATGCTGATGACATAGTTTTATTTGGCGAAGACGCTGACAAAATCCAGAGTCTTCTGACCACTCTAAACAACAATGCAAGCATGTTCGGGATGCGATTCTCCCCTCGAAATGCAAAATGTCGCTTCAGGATTGGGTTGCATTGACACCCGAACTAATGATAGGGAGTGAAGTAATTGAGCGTGTCGATCGACTCACTTATCTTGGAAGTCTCATCAGCCTTTGTGGTCTGGTGTGTGACGAAATCTCAGCACGGATACAGAAGGCTCGACTAGGTTTTACTAACTTGCGTCATCTATGGCGTAGGCGAGATATCCGTCTATCAACCAAAGGACGTGTTTCCTGAGCAGCAGTTCGTTCCGTCCTACTTTATGGCAGTGAAACATGGCCGGTAAGAGTAGAGGATATCCGTAGGTTACTAGTATTTGATCATAGGTGTTTTCGAAATATTGCTCGTATATCGTGGGACCATCGAGTAAGTAATGTAGTTGTTATGAATCGGGAACTAGGTAAGGATAGCAAATCAATTGATGAATTAATGAAACTTCATCAGTTGAGGTGGCTGGGATACGTGTTAACGTATGCCCAACCACCGACTGCCCCGACGAGCGATTTTTAGTGGTGTAGGAGTAGGTTGGAAGGAAGGTAGGGGCGGCCAGACCAAAACGTGGTAAAAATCCATGAAGTCATTGACAAGTGCACTGAGCCATGTTGATAGGTGTAGACTACCTGGTTGGGATCCACGAGACGATAGCAACTGATGGTTAGAGACCTTGGATGAAACATGGCTTAAAATCGTTTGCAATGGCGCAGGTGCATCTACTCTTTGTGTTCTCCCAAATTCTAATCTTCTGAATTCTTCATGTCTCTTTTTCTCTTTCCAAATTTATTTCACTGTATTATACTCCTTGAATACCATCTTCAAACCCTAATCTTTCCGATTACTGCTTATACTTTTACTACCTCTACCACTACGAGATTTTAATCGACAATTGTATTTCTGTGCTAATGTGGTAGGACAACTCGAACTGATGTACGTACGTACGTACGAAGTTCTAAGTTGTTACTGACAGACTAATTGACTAAAGAAACTTCAGAACTGTTTAGTTTTTAATGTCTATTAGCCTGTTCAATGTAAGGGATACATGTTATTCATGTGAAAATTCACTTTTACCACAAAAAAATACTTGTTTTAAACGATCAAGCAAATAACATTGATAAATATAAAGTTCATTATTAAAAATAATCTTTGTAACTTGTATTTGTCACAAATATGTCTTACTTAAAATATCATCTGTGATGAAAAAGAAACCAAAATGATTACATTGAATTAGTTCTATTCTAAAATATAAACATCTATCTAGTGCTATTTAATTTTCATTAACATTTAAATTGATATTAATTCTTTGATAAATATAATTAACAAAATCAAATCAATCTTGACAAATTCATTGAACTCAAAGAAGAAGAAGAAGATAAAATAAATCTATGTTATTAATATGCGAAAATGTAGCATAGAACATCATGATTACAGTCTAATAAATAAAAACAAAATTATTTACTTCATTGAAATTAAATTTAATGAATGTTTTAATTTTTCAACTGTTAAAGTATTAAATAATTTTTTTATTTTTTAAATATTTTTTTATTTTTTATATTTTTGTATTTTTGTATTTTTGTATTTTTTGTATTTTTGTATTTTTTATATTTTTTATTTATTTAAATTTTGTTCAATGAATATCATGACAAAATGGATATTTTAGTTCCGAAACTTTAAAGTTAATAATCATTTTTAATAAAATTTCTTATTTCATAATTTGATATTTAATATAGAAAATCTTGTCTAACTTAAGTTGAAAATTCTTTCAATATTATAAATTTTGATGAGTAGATAAATAAAAAATTATACTGGTATAATTGAATCTTTACATTAAAAATGCTTGGTCTGATTTTATAATTACAAACTATCGAGGCATTTTGAAATCAAATACCATGGTACGGCTGAGAGTGAAGAGAGTCAGCTCTCTCTCTCTCTCTCTCGAAATGCTCTCACCTGACCACGTGCATATAACCACCGATAGGGAAGTTCTACTCATTGCCTTCTCGTAGCAGAGGTGTTGTTTTGTGAAATTGAGAGATTAAAAGCGAACGTACGGCACTTTAACCGGGTCGATTGGTGAGGAGGATCTATCTGGTGGAGTTGAAATATTTCAATTTCAAACCAATGGTTCACCGTCACCATTGTCTTCAGTGAGCTGATATCTCACAACAGACCTGATTGAACTCCACTGGTATCAGATTCTCATTAGAAATCCAGGAAACGCCTCTTGAAGTCGGTCACTAGTGAGCAGATGATTATTATCAAAAGGGGTTTTGTGGAGATTTCGTCGATTAGTTGAAGTTAGACACTGACACCGTTGTATGCCGGCCGGCTCAGTGGTCTAGTGGTTAAGCTCTTGCGCGCGAGACTGATAGGTCATGGGTTCGAATCTCGCAGGAGGGTGGCGGGATGGTGGATGTGCACTACTGAGGAGTCCCATACTAGGGCGAAACGGCCGTTCAGCGCTTCCAGATTTTCTATGTTGTTTAGCTTCAATTGACTCATGATTTCAACTATTTGAATTACTGAAATCTCCACAAAACCCCTTCTGATAAAAGATTTATTGTCAATTAATTGAAGTTATTGAAACGGAAAAGATATACCAACTATATATATGCCAAAATACTGAGATTATATAAATTCCCAAATGACAATTGTTCAGTATACAAACTCATTTATTAGTTAGCTATTACTCTTATTTCATATTCAATGTTTTTGTTTACTTGATCACTAAAACAAAACAAAAAAAACACAAAAATATAAACAAACAAATGGTCTAATTTAATTTACAGCAAATTCATTCAATACAATTAATATTATGAATTCTTTATGTTTATTTTCTATTTTTTTATTATAGTTTGCAAAATACTCCTGACCCTGTTAAATCATCAGATTTAGACGAGAAAATAGTAAAAGGTACATATTTTTGTTTTATTTTACAATCAAGAAAAAAAAATTCATGAATATGGATATTTGTATTTTGAATAGTTGAATTCATATGGCATTTGAAGGTAGACCATTATGGAAAACCTGGTCTAACTTCAATTGACTCATGAATAATAATGATAACATTCACAAAACCGCGTCTTTGATTTGTATTTTTGTTGCATAATAAACAAATTTCTTTATAGTAAGTAAAGTATTATACTTTTTTAAATATTGTTGTTCAAATAATATAAGAACTTTCGTCTAAATATGATCGAATACTTTCACAGTATTTGGGCACTGAGTTGATATGAGATATTAAAGAGGAAGAATGTATTTGTAAAATCTGAGTGAATGAATTTGAAGTAAATCCAACATTTTATCTGGTAATTTGGCTTAAGCTTTTTCATAACTATGAACTTCTACCTGTTGTAATGAGAAATTTCAATAACAATGTCAAATTATCAAATCAAATATCAATGAACTTAACTCTATGCTGGTTAATTAGTTCGTTAAAGTCAGTAGGTTTCGTGATATAATCACTAATTGAATTCTATTTTAAAATGTAATTGGAACGATAATAACTGCTATGTAATTATCAATAAAAACTATTTGGAAAATTGATATAGTTGTGCTTTCATTAATATTTCATTTTCAAGACCCATTCAAAAAGGTACTGTGTAACATATGTAGATTCCTTAATTAAATTCAATCCACCTAATTAGTTACATAAGAATCAAGGTAATCAAAGTGTTCACTGCAGCTCACTACAAATGTACGTTCATGTCTTTAGAATGGGGATACAAATACAAAGCTAAGTGAATGGATATGCTAACAAACATTATCAAACATTTCCATAGTTTTAAGTAAATATTGTTAGTCTACAGTCACTACCGGTTAGTATCAAGATTAATGGGAAGTAAGACTCCCATCAAAATTGATTAACTTCTAATGGATTATTTAAATTCATTATTACTCCATTTAACAATCAGTCCTGTATTTGCACACAATTTCATCTTTTAGTTATCTAATTAAAAGAACGCTGGAGTTACAGCAGTATCCAACTAATAAGGGTACATTGTGTGAAAGCATTTACTATCAAGCTTATTGTATAACATTAAATGTTAATTTCCTATCAATATAAAAAGTCAAATTAAGTCATGATGTTAAATCAACTTTCAGATTATAAACTGACACTGATAACAATACACCTTGAATATGTATGCTATTCACTGACACTTTGATCCCAATAACACAGTCCTGCAACTATAACTCATTTTAGATATCTGTGATCGAAATACTAATTTATATTTGCAATGACGTACAAAAATTCACTGCTGTTTCAAAGATGGATCGGATTATCAAATTAACAGACAGTCCAGCAAATTATAAACATTTTGAAATAAGTCGTGAGAAGTTTCATAAGTCAATGAAATATGCAACGGATATACTATACTATTGTTTCATACAATTAAATAAGGTTCTATTCTCTCCTCAATAACATGTCTTTTAAATACAACAGTTACACATCTGCGAAATCAGTTATGGCTTTATCGTCTAACTGACGATGAAAGTATCATGTGTCATAAAATAACGAATATGTCCTACTTTATAATCACCAAAATGGAAAAAATTTGAAAATTGTATACCTCATGAACTGATTTTAGCTAGTTGCCCATTAAAAACCAGTCAGCACTAGAGACCTAGTGAGAAACAATGATTGAGGAAACTGATCCATGCCATTGATGGCAACCAGCACGATTTTGGGAAACAACTGAAGTTGGAAGTATTTGCCGTTGGATACCAACTCCATACCACACCATTAAAAAGTTTACTGGAAGCTTTTAAAGTTTGAAAACTAAAATATACTTTGTGACGTATTATAATGTATAACTGTAAACTAAGCAAGATATTCAGTGTTGTACTTTCTCGAAACGTTGCCTATTCAGTATATCTATTGTTTGCATATGTTGCACTTATTTTTTTAGCATCAAATGAACTGTTACCAATCTTAACAAAAGTACAAATACCAAATGATAGACTGTGCACAACTGATTTACTGTCCACTAGTCAAAGTGAACATATTAGTATATCAAAAAGTGGAAATCCCCCAGCACAACAGAAACAAAATTTTAATAGTCAAACAATGTTTCAACATGATCCATATTTATGCTCATCACGTGGATCTGAAGTCATTATGCATCCATTAACTGAAAAAGAAAAAATTGCTGTACGTGTAATTCGAAAACTGCGATTTTTTGTAGCACGTAGAAAATTTCGTGAAGCTCTCAGACCATATGATGTAAAAGATGTAATTGAACAGTATTCAGCTGGACATGTTGATATGTTAGCTAGAGTGAAAATACTTCAAGCAAGGTAAATAAATGTTTCTATGCAGTACTTTGCTTTATCTATCTTTCATAGCTGTTACTAAATATAATGAACATCTAATTGTAAAGCCTTTAACTTATTGATGAAATTTAGTGTTACTCTAATGTATAAATATTATACTACAGTCGAGGTGAAAGTAAACTTTTTTGAATATTAAGGTTGAAAGCCAGGATTCTAACACCCCAATGATTTTTCTTGATGACCATTACGTATATATAAAGGTTGTGACAGACGTTAGCCACAGTCTGATATATTCACGGTATTTTTTGAAACAACTTTAGATTATATTCAGCTTGCGTTTATGTGCATTAGTATACTGAACAAATGAAAATCCTAAACTTAACAATGCAAATATGAAAATCTGACAAATAAAAAATCCATTCAGACATGACTAAGGATGTATTGTTACAAGTAAAAGCTTTATGGTACATTAAATACACAGTATCCTAGATCAAAGATACCCATAATAAGCAACGATTCTGTATAGCTGAAACTTTCCTGCTGACTACCCTCATCAACGTAGTACAAAGCATAGATATAGAATCACAATCCAGCTGCTAAGTTCCAGTTATCGCTAAGAACTAAAACGAATAATATTATTGTCTACTCAATGACTACTAGAGTAAATATGTCAGTCTTCCAGTAGGTCACATCCCAGCATCAATATCTCTCTAGCAAAACATGTGACCTTAGACAATGTGAGTTAAAATCCTAAAGTAAACATTATTTTCTTCAAGATTACAGATATACACTACTGATGCGTGTTGACTACCGTGAAACAAGATTCACAATCTTCATTCGGTTGCTTCCAACTAACAGATTTTTACTGTCAAACTTCCATTGAATATCACTTGAGGTTGAAAAATTGCTCTCAAAGAAACATAATTTCCAGATTGTAATTGAAAACATAGGACCTATATTTTAATGCATAAATATACTCATTTGTTAACTTTACACAACTACAGCTCAAAAACATGTTTCAAACTTTTATCAAATAATTCCATCTTTTAGGTTAGATCAAATTTTAGGAAGACCTGGCTCTAAAGGTGATGATGTCTATGATTCACATCAATGTTTAGCGTCAAGAATTGTGAAAATTGAACATAAGGTGGGAAGTTTAAATTTTTTTTAGTTAAAACTACTTTCTGTTTATTCAGTCATAAATACTTATACTAAAGCAATATTTTCCCATCATCAGATTACTATGATAATCCCTGGTTCATGAAATAACAAATCAGTAACGCGGTCTTAATTTAGTTTGTTATTCTAAATCAGATTTATTTGAGCTATGATCGGTCGAAGTTATTGAACTGATTATAGTTCTTTATTAAATACAGTCTTTGTAACACAGATGTGTTTGGAGTTAGTAGTGATATTTATTGACATATCTTAAGGCCTTTGAGTTTAATGCTCTGAAGTTACCTGTTTATATAGTGATTATCCTACCAACAGTAACACTTCTAAAAAAGGGCTTAGCATATTTGGTTTATAATAGTAGTAGAAATAAGACCTTAATATTTAATTAAAACAGAAATTTCAAATATTTATTGACACAATGTTCAAAGTTATTGAATCACTATATGTAACTTGACGAAGAATTAGGCAAGTATTTATTCAAAACGATGCTGTACAATGTAGTAAATAAAAAATCATAGGTCTAACAAAAATTGTAGTGAAAGATCTTACCATAACTACTATCAGAAAGAAGTAATGTGGTTAACTTTAGGAAAGAGGTATGATGATGTCTGCCATTAAAAATATTAATTAATTCAAAGCTCATTTGTTAAAACTGTAGACCATCGAACATACATTTTGCTGAAGTGAAATTTACTCAACTATAAATGAAACTCTGTATGACAATCTACGTTGACATTTTAATTTTTTTTAAAAATCAGTCGAAACGGGTCTTCAACAATTACTCCCAGTAACGTAGTTTATATAATTAAAATATTGATTTTTTTATTATTTATCCATATTTTCACAGATTGAAATCATGAGTCAGTTGAAGCTAGACCACCATTGAAAACCTGGAAGCACTGGACGGCTGTTTCGTCCTAGTATGGGACACATCAGCAGTGCGCATCCACGATCCCGCACCACGCGGGGCTCGAACCCAGGACCTACTGGCTTCGCGCGCGAGCACTTAACCATTAGACCACTGAGCCGGCATCCAACGGTGTTAATGTCTAACTTCAACCAATCCACGAAGTTGCGCCACCATATACCATTGTCTTCAGTGAGCTGATATCTCACAACAGACCTGGTTGTACTCCACTGGTAACGGCTTCCCACGCGCGAAGCCAGTAGGTCCTGGGTTCGAGCCCCGCGTGGTGCGGGATCGTGGATGCGCACTGCTGATGTGTCCCATACTAGGACGAAACGGCCGTCCAGTGCTTCCAGGTTTTCAATGGTGGTCTAGCTTCAACTGACTCATGATTTCAATCTGTGAAAATTTCTAAAAATCTCCACAAACCCCTTCTGATAATTATCCATATTTGTTTAGTTCTATCAAATGTAGCATGATATCTAGTTTCCATATCGATTTTCAAATGTTTCAAAATAGTAGTTAAGCCATTTACATAACATCACTTATTGTTGATGTGTTGTAGATTATTATTATTATACTCTGGAATATTCATGAGGTTACTATCTTTTCAAATTTAGACAGAAAACAAAAACAAAGTTAAAACGGTTTTAATGGAATTTAATGGTCCGTTTTTGATAATAAACTATATTATTGAATAATCAATAAGGAATTGCTTCTCTTGTTCAGTATAAACATAAAAAATCTTTAATTTTGTAAACATTCTAATATTTTAGATTGATACTGTTGAAATGAAACTTGATAGATTGATCAATATTTTAAAAGCTGATTATATGTTTAAATATCGTAGTCAAGTAGAAAATACCGATGTCAATATGAAACATTCACTGCAGAATAATGACCAATACATTCAACAAACTAATTGTTCAGACAAAGTAAATCACCAAATCCAGTGTAATACACTTTTTTCAACAACAACGACAACAGGACAATATCCAAAACTATCAGAGGATAAAGTGTTTGTGATTCAACGTAGATCACATAATAAATTCCAGAAACAAAAATTGTCTGCATCAGAAAGAAATTCACTGACTGTCAATTTTCCATTATCACTGATAAGTGAACGATGGAAAAGTATTGATGCTGAAACATCTTTGAAAAATATTTATCCTTCCAATAAAAAACCTAGTACAGACACTACTATATACAACCAGAATAATGATAATACTCAGAAAGTATATTCAAAATTACAATTCACATCTCATTCTGAAGAATCTCCTTTAACGAAAAGACGAAGTTTTCCCTTACAATCTACGTCATCATTTAATATTCTATCAAATAAACAAGCATTGTCAACTTATTCAGAAAGTTGTTTAAAAAGAGTTATTAATGATAATAATAATAATAAAGATCATAGTTTTAAATCACTTAATAATATAAAAGAAATGATACATGATCTTAAAACAACTCAATATCTCACTGATCCTTATACACAAATTTCAAAAAATTATTCCAATCTATCAAAAAGTATGAATTCAATTACTATTCCTTATCGAGATTCTTCTTCCTCTTTTAAAACATACCTACAAAGACAAGAAGAGATTATTACTCCTTTAGATTATGAATATATTGTAGAAGAAGAACAACAAGAGAGAACATCTTTATTAGATACAATTAATAAGATAAACAACTAAAAGTAAATAATAATAAGAATACTTTTGATAATATTTAATTGGTTTTCACACTTTTATTTAATAAATAATGATGTACATAGACATTTTTAAGTTGTTTTTATACTACTACTACTACTACTACTACTACTATTACTAGTGTTACTAATACTACTAATGATACTACTACTATTACACATTATATACTACTTATTTAGTTCAGAGAATATAGTATTTTCTTTTGCATAGTTTGCAATTTACTTTATGTAGATTCTTTCTTTTTTGTAAAGATAGTTAAATCAGTTTATCATGAATTTTCTTATTTAAAAAAAATTTCCGCTCATTTACTTTTAATCTTTTGTTTTTTTTTTTTTTTCGTCGTTTTTTTTTTAAAAATTTATCTTTTAATTCTTCGATATAAGATATGTGTTAATCAAATTTGTTTTATTCCTTTAATTTGAATTGAATTCAACCAATTAGATGTCTTCCTTCAATGTTATTCTTTCTATAAAATAATAAAGTGTAAACAAAATAAATAAACAAGCCATTTGTTTGGTGAAAACTTCTATAAAAAAACAACAACAGAATTTCATATCTTTATCCTTCATTATGGTCATGTTAGATATTTTCTAGATTGATCTAATTTGTATAAATACAAAAACACTCTGATAGGAATGATTGACAGAATGATTTTCTGTTTATTCTCTCTTTCAATTTCAATGATATTCAATTTTTTTTTTTCTAAAATGAAAATATAAAAACAAAAAGAAACTATGGATCGGTGTTAACTGATGATTGAAAAGAAAAATGTACATTGAATTAAAATATACATTGTGGATCATCTTCTGAAGATGAAAATTATCTGACTATAAGAAAAGATGAAATCTCTGAATGATTTCAAAAAAAAAAAAGAAAACGGTATAATTCGAATAAGATATACTACACTTGTATGATTTACTTAAACGTATCTAAGTAGATAAATACTAATTCGTTAGTTAGTTCTTTCTCTTTATCACGACCCAGCTATTCCTATTGCTTAATATTCTCGGACACCGATTCACTCGACAAGTCCCTCAATCAGAACACGGTTGAACAGGAACAGAGATGGAAGCCAAGAAGCAAGTGAGAAGTGCAATAGGGAAAACGTTAGTATATTTATAGCTTTTCACATAAAATTTCTAGAGTTTTCACTAATTATTGACTGACGCGTGTGCCAACTCATGCGTGCACTGAACATGCCTTAATGCAGTCTATGTCTCGCCAACAGTTGTTTGACAGTATGATTTTCATTAAAAAAACAAAAAACATCCATACTACTAAATAGATGTTTGAGTGGAATAGCTAAGCAACTCAAAATTTATTCGGACAATAACTTTTCACTGACTAGAAGAAAAAATGAAAAGAAGTTGGTCATATGGAATTTGTTTTTTATAAATCTGACAAAAATGGGCGATATATAAATAGAACTAAAACAGTTATTTTATCTGATAAATCTAACCAGTATGTTTCAAAGAAAACGTATTATTTAAGCTAATGTTATCATTTATATGACATTACTAATTCAATCATAAAAGAAACTTTTCAGATTTTGATTTAAAAAAAAGGAAAACACTGAAAATACTTTACTATTCAAAATATTATGTCATCATCAAAAATATCTCTCATTATATTATCAGTTTAAGAGTTATGGAGACTGTTAAGTTGTTGATTGGGATCATGGACCGAATGATGTTAGACCACCATTGAAAACATGGAAGCACTGGACGGCTGTTTCGTCCCACTGTGGGACTCCTCAGCAGAGCGTATCCACGAACCCACTCGCAGGATTCTAACCAAGAGAGTTCAGTCTCGCGCGCCAACGTTTAACCTACTGTACCGCTGAGCCGGCAGGCATCCAACGATGTTAATGTCTAACCTCAACCAATCCACGAAGTTGCGCGACCATCTTACAACGTACTGAGATAGACACCTGTTTCTACCCGACACGAATTAGCTCCACTGGTCACAGCATCTTACCAGAACTCCGAGGATTTTCTGACGGAGCTAGTCACTAGTGGGTCCAGTACGTTAAGCACTGGCACGTGAGACTGAACTCTCTGGGTTAGAATCCCGCGAGTGGGATCGTGGATGTGCTCTGCTGAGGAGTCCCACAATAGGACGAAACAGTCGTCCAGTGCTTCCAGGTTTTCAATGGTGGTCTAACATCAATCGGTTCATGATCTCAATCAAAAATATCATTATGTTGTCAAAATTCTTGGTTCGTTATGTTATGTTAACACTTTGTTTATCCCTGATAAAATGTATCCACCTAATATTAGTTCCTGTAGAAAAATTCGATGTAATTTTGTAATCTGAATTTAAATTTGTTAGCACTTATAAACACAGAATGTATTTGGAACCTTAAGTAAGTTGTTGATCATTCTGAATGCGATACTCCTTATCCTTTTGAAATCATATTTAAGGACTTTACTGTGAAAGAAATGAAGAAGAATACCTTTAAGTTATTAATTGCATAATTAGATCTGTGTCTTATTTTCTAGACCGAAAAAGTTATAAATATTTTCTATCGATGATTTTATGAAGTTTTAATGTTTGATAATGGTTTGTAGTCGAATTCAAGACGGACTATTCGTCCTATTTTAAAGTCATCAGATGTATATATCTCTATTCTAGTGTTAATATTTCTTGTAGGATTCAAATGACGTAGCAGTTATGTTAACTGTTAACACGTAATCAAACTACTAAGTTCAAATAATTACTAACTTGTTCAATAAATAAAAAGCCTTACAAATTATCAAGATTGTTTGGCATTATCTATTTAATATTTTTTTAATTACCTTCACAAAACTATTCCATTTATTTACAAGATTAATATTTCCATTATAATCTGTAATAATAAAGGTTAGCCGGTTTATGTAAATATCTAGGCTTCTATTACACCATTAAAAATCCTACTTTGTTGTCCAGTTAAAATCTGAAAAATATCTTAATTACCCATGAGAAATCAATATGTTAAAACATTTTTTTCATACACATAGTTCCCTTGATCATTTTGTAAAGAGCAAGAACAAAAATTCTAGCAGAATAACATGAATTAATTTTTATTTCGTTGGTTCTCGTCAGCTGCTTACATCCTGTGATATTTAAAATTATAATTACATATTGAGTTCTAATTGCTTACATGAAAGAGTTTGGTTGGAAATTATATTGAAGACATATTCGTATAGTAAAGCAAGGGTGTAAATAAAGTTAATGGACTGAATATTGTAAATATATACGTTATATGAAGGAACACTCTACAGCATTGATTGTGATAACAGTTCAAACGGCTAGAAACAAGTGGTAACATAATGAATAAATATTGATAACAATCTAGCGAGTAGAGCTCAGTTGATAAAATAAGATTATAAATTTAGAAGATAGTGGAAGCAAAACTCAATGATGTGATAAATACAAGAAAGGGTTTAAAGAAAAAAGAAAAAAATTTAAGATGCAGCCAAAGAGTATTTGTCACCAAGGCAAGGAAAGATTAATAACCGTCTCTTTCCGAACACATAAGTCAGGTTTTTAATGCCTGATGTCAACAGCTTCAAAAAACTTCGAAAGACTGGAGTTTAGCTGGTTACTAATCACTTTAAACGATTACCTGATGTCCTATATCAAGGAGATGTTTGGTGATTGCACTGCTTAAAGTCTTTCTTTCCCTTGTTCTGAAACGTTTCGAAACATGTTGAAAAAAACCATTTTGTAGTTACTTGTAAATAATAGAAAGTTTTGTATTTATAGTTTGATCAATACAAAAAAACTGCAAAAATATTATTGGATTACTGTTATTGTTGTTTGAAATCTTATTTGCATTTTAACGTTTTCTGAAACGGAAACAAAAAATTTAATTTCACAACCTTATACATACAAATTAGTTAACCCTGACATTTCGAATGATAAGAATTACATTTTATATGAAATAAACATTAAATGATAGATACATTGTTCAATGAGGATATATTCAATGAATAATAAATCAATAATAATCAGTGTATACTTTCAATTCAACTTTCCATTTATATCAAATCTAATCAATATGTAAATAAATTTTTAAAAAACAAACATATCAAGATTTCATTTTAGGGATTTAAACAATTTCAAATATCAATAATGTAACTATTCAAACCCCTGGAGATAAAAATAAAGTAATATACATATAATTATCATAGAGATTATAAAGTAAGAACATAAATTACCTTATCTGAGTGGATACAATTTTAATTGAACAATAGTTAACCAGGTAAGATAATTGAGTTTATATATACAAAAAGAGTTATTTTATTTTTTTATAATTTTTACAAAATGTAAACGAGATAAACAGAATTAATTAACCCATCCATTTTTATATTTTTTTTGTGAGGTAATCTCTCTATTGTAAATTATATCACGGGATAATTATAAATAAACATCCAGTAAAAACTAAGATACACTAAACTGATAATTTCAAACAATATTCACAGATATACCTGTTCGATATTGAGCCTTGAAACGTATACCTTTTTGATTAATAAAGAGGAGGCAACGGCTCAATAAGAAGTTCTATAATCGAACACCTTGTGAACATAGGTTACTCAATCAAGACAGACTCTGCGTTCAAAGTCATATACAAGGTAAGTAGAAGTATTCCTAAGACAATTAGACTGCATCTTCTTTGCATTGCCAAGGCAATAGCCATACATTTTGAAAAACCAGAATTATGTGTACAGAAGAAACTGGTAAAACCTCATCTTCTACTATGGTCTTAATGTATTAAAATTGTTCTCTTTCTTCATACTTTTGTTCCCTTACAGCCACCTGCTTCACCTTCCTTCTTCCCTTCAAATCTTCTACCCCAACCGGTTTGTTTTTATTTCCACGATCATTCTGAGTACATTTCATCTCTGTTTCAACATTCTATTTTATCATGCTGAGCCATCCTTACCCGACGAATACTTAAGCCATTAACTATCAAACGATTATTTACTTTCCTTGTTTTAAAA